CCTCAATGCTGTTTTTAAATTGGCAGAGGCAGCAGGCCATATGGCTAGGTAAGATCCTATAGATGAAAACAGAGAACAATAAATTAGTGGTAAAGCGGTTGAGTAGGTAAAGGAGGCAGGCCAACGCTACCAGAGGGCTGGGCGAAAAGGTGTTATTGAGGCCTGTGGACTAAACAGTTGGGTAGGAACTAGAAGGCCAATAGGAAGGAGGACAGAGGTGCCCAACCGAAGGATAAGCATGGCAGTGAGTATGGTATGTCTAGAATAAAGGTGGTTGGGATTAGAATTGGGTGACACTGATCAGTAGTTTAATTCAGAAGTATCTCTTCCCAACTCAAAAGTCTCACTTTGGGCTGAAAGTATACAGGAAGAAGGTAGACTTCTAAGAAGAGTCTGAGTAAGTCCCCAGCTTCTGGAGGCCCTTTCTCAATTCCTTTTGGGAGTGGGAAATACTAGAAATTACTCTGCGCATTAAAAATAGTTTAGTTCAACCTGGATTGTGGGGTTAAAAAGTAACAGAGATTGCATTGGTCAAATCTGGACAATTTGAGCATTCAAAAGAATAACAACAATAATAAGCTATAACATAATTAATACATAAAAAAGAATCAATGAAGAATGATATTAAAAAAGAAAGAAGGGGAGTTCTTTAATGAAATAAAGCCAGATAATAAATGTGGAAGGAATGACAGAATTTTAAAAAGTGTCACTTTGCAACCACCAGTAATAAAAATTGATTCAGACAAGGATTATCACTGATGGACAGCTGGGTGAAAAGACATCTGAGAACAGGATCTTCAGTGATCTCAAAGTACCACCTCACAGATTATTTATTAACTATGGGAAAAATTACTTTTTTAAAAAAATGAGACAAGGTCTTACTCTATCACCCAGGCTGAATGAAATACAGTGGCAAAATCATAGCTCACTGCAGCCTTGACCCCCTTTTAACTTCCCTTTTAACTTCATTGATTTTTTCTTGTATTTCTGTATCTAACATATTTTCCAGCAAGTACAGCTTTCTCAATTTACTTTCGTAAGTTGAGTTGTTGGATGCAGGTTGAAGAGAGGGGCCCTTTGTATTGTTTTTCAAAATACTCAGGGGCCTGTCTCCATGACAGGGGGTCATGGAGTTCGAGACCCCCTCAGGAGTTCGAGACCAGCCTGGGCAACATAGTGAAACCCTGTCTCTACTAAAATCTCGAACTCCTGAGCTCAAGCAACCCTTTCTCCTTGGTCTCCCAAAGTGCTGGGATTATAGGCACAAGCCCAGAGGTTTTGTTATTCTTTTCCTGCCCCCAACTTTTGATTTTAAACATTTTCTTTTTTTTTCTTTAAGCCTTAGGATGGCTGGGAAGCATTTTCAAATGGTCTAATGAACACCTCTATAACTTTCATCTGGAATCCACAGTAGCTAATACTTTGTCACATTTGCTTTCCATGTGTGTTTGTCTATACATTTTCTGGACAAACCATTTGAGTCAGTTGCAGACATAATGACCCTTCACCATTAAAGACTTCAGTGTGCAGCCCCCAAGAACCAAGGCATTCTCCTACATAACCAGAATACTATCATCACCCAATGGAACTTAATATTATCATTGTTTACTATGTAGTCCATATACACATTTTCACAATTGTCCTAATCATATCATGGCTTAAAAAATTGAGAATCCAATTAAACATCACCAAACATCAGACATTACATTTAGTGTTCATGACTTTTTTTTTGTTTTTGTAGAAAGACATTTAATACTTCTGTTTACAAAATTCAGGCACACATTTCACTTTGCCCTGGACCATGTCCAAGGCTGTGTGCTCATCTTTGCCAGGGTGTTTGTGCCCTTCATGTACTGCTGACAAGGTGGGTGCAGAGCAGAGCCTGGGGTCCAGAGGCTTCAGGCTGAGCCACAGTGGGAGAGGAATGTGAATGTGGCCCAGTCCAGAGGACCCCCCATTTCATCGATTTTGGATCAGGTGACAGAGGAAGCAGATGTTGGGGCTGCGGACCTGCTGGTCTGGGCAGGGGTCTGGAGACCCCAGGGCTGCCTGCTGTGGCCTAGAGGAGATGGTCAGGGCCACTTCCCACAGGGTGGGGTGGTAGCGGCTGGGAAAGTGGAGGCCTGGCCACCAGGAGCTTTAACATTTGCTCACTGGAGCCTTTGTGCTTGGCCTCAACAGCATGGCTGGGGCTGTGGTCCCGTGCGAAGTGTGCTGGGGTGTATGTGGGTGGTTGATGGTGGCAGCTTGTGCTAGAGTGACACAGGCCTCCGTGGCCCTGGCTGGGGGCAGTTGAAAAGCTGAAAAGGTACTTGGCTTTGTGAGGGAGGGGCTTTGGAGGCGGGGCTCTGAAGGAGGCTATGTTCTCTGTCCTGGGGCAGATCCCAGCTGGCCTCTGTCCCCGGGCTGCAAGCTGACAGCAGGCAGGGGAAGCAGTGAGGCCCTCTGACCTGGCCTTGGGGAGAAGGAGTGCATGTGTGAGGTAGGGGTGCAGTGGCCCTGGAGTGGGGCCAGGGCTCATCTCCAGCACCAGGCTGGGACAGGATTTAAAACCAAGGTCCTGTCTCTGAGCCACCCCACGGGGACGCTCGATCTCATCCTGTTAAGGCCACAGGACTCGAGGGCAGGCAGTGGGCCGGGTCCCTGTGGGGTCAGGACGGAGGTGGGTGCTGCCGCGGTGGAACATTAGTGTTTGTGAGAGCACCTTAGGGTTAGCCCCGCCTCGGCCAGCTGGGCAAGGAGTTGGGGAGCCGGGAGGAGGCTGGCGCAATGGAGTAGGGAAGGGAGCTGTCACCGTTGGGGGTCAGCACCAGTGTAAACAGGCCTCTCCACCCACCCAGATAAGCCCCCCACCCAAGTGTGGCTCCCTGCTCAGGGAGTACCTCGAGGACCTGGGACTGGGTGGCACCAGCAGGCTCGGATACCATCCTAGCAGTATGGTAGCCCGGTGGAAGGCAGAAGACCCGACAGGGGGTGCCGCCCAGTGTGGACAGAGGGGCGGGGCACTGGCGGGGCACTGGCGAGTCACTGCGGCAGGGGCACAAGCGTGTCCATGTAGCTGAGCAGGAAGAAGCCCGACTGGCTGTCCAGCATGCCCTATACCAGTTGTAGTTGATCTGGTTGGTCAAGGTGATGACGTCACCCTCATGGAAGCCCAGCTCCCCATGGTTCTAGGGTTCGAAGTTGTACAGCACCTTGCAGCTCCGCTCCTCTAGGGGCGGCATGCTCCTGCTAGGAGTCCAGATGGGCTTGTCGGAAGATCGGAAAGACGAAGCTGCGATCTTGGGGACTGTGGTGCTGGGGAAGCCCCCGTTGGACTGCTCAGGCTCTCCGAGGTCAAAGGGCTCCCGGGACTTGGGCTTATACTGCCGCTTGGAGCCTGAGGAAGCTTCCTGCATTCTGCGCTTGGGCTTCTCTGCCAGCTTGTCCGGGATCTGCACGGCCCGCTGGTAGCAGTCCAGCTGCGCCTCCACCAGGGTTGAGAGCTGACTCACCTGCTTGATATTGGTCTCCAGGAGGTTGTGCATGCTGGTTTCTGCCACCTCCTTGGACTCCTCAAACTTCTCCAGCACCTGGCGCAGCTCCTCATTGGGGATCTTGCCCTGCCACTTCTTCTTTTAGTCAAAGTCCAGGTGGTGGCGCTCCAACTGGTGGTGCTGGATCTCCTTCAGGTTGTTCTCGCACAGGTTCTGGAGGGGGTCAATGAAGTTCTGTTTGACCTCTATGTCCAGGGAGTCCTTCACCTCCACCGGGTGCTTCATGGACTCGCCGACATCCAGCAGTGTGTCACCGAAGTTGGACTCACCGCCCAGCTCCTTCAGATGGCAGATCAGGCACTCGCTCAGGAGCCCCTCCAACTGCAGGTAGCTGGGGTTCTACACCTGGCCCCGGATCTCGGACACCATGTTGAGCATGGTCAGCTTACTGGCGAGGTTTGGGTTGGGCTGCAGGTACTTGATGGTCCTGGCCAGCACTTCCGTCACTGCCTTGCTGGTGACATCCACCTTCTTCTCCATCTCTTTGAAGTCATCATCCAGCTTGGTCCCCTCAGCCCCTCCCACCTTCTCACTGACCAGCTGGCTTGCCTTGTAGAAATGGTTCTTCAGCCCCACGACCGACATGCCCGCTGCCGAGCACCCCACAGGGACCGTGCCAGTGACAGGCTTCCAGGCGCCGCCAACCCTCTGCCCGCCTCAGCAGCCGCTGTCGGCACCGCCTCCGCCATGTGCTTGCCAGCCCCAGCGCCGCCTAGTGTTCATGATTCTTCAGTCTCCTTCAATCTAGAACTGTTCCCAGGATTGTTTTAAAGTGTACTGACAAATCTTTGAGACTATAAATGACCTGACGTATACATTATCCTTACTTGAGAATGGTAATTTTTCAATACGCCATTAAAGATCATTACACATGAGCCAAGACTCAAATGCACTGGCCTCCTTACTTTGTATATCAATGTGTAAACTCCTGAAGACTTCCAGTAATGAACTCCTCCCATAAGGGAGTTAGTTCAATGTCTTTATGGCCTCGGTGACAAATGGTTACAGAGAATGAGAGCTTTTTTCCTATCCACTAATGGTCAAGAAAAAAGCAGACAGATCCTCACTGTCTTAGAGAACCAAGTGAGAAAGCTGGTCGATGAAGAGGACTTCATCCAGAGAGGAAGGGATCTAGCTGACAGGGAAGATGCTGCAGGAGGCTGAGGGAAGTGAGGCTAGAGCAGTAAAACAGATCTGACAATGTGGTGAAGATAAGAGAGTGACCTGACAAAAATTAACAGAGTGCGAAATGAAGGGCCCTTTCCATGCTAATCTTGCATACTGCCCTCAACCAGCCTTAGCAAAACAGAGTTTCTATTTAGTTTGCCATATTGTGGGGTGGTGGCACTATTTAAGTTGCAGTCAGTTGTGTAACAAACTCACAGTAGAGCCCTGCAGAAATATATACATATATATACACACACACATATATATACACACATATATACATATATATACACACATATATATATAATTTTTTTTTAAGACAACGTCTTGCTCTGTCACCCAGGCTGGAGTGCAGTGGTGCCATCTTGGCTCACTGCAACCTCCACCTCCTGAGTTCAAGTGACCCTCCCACCTCAGCCTCCCTAGTAGCTGGGACTACAGGCATGTGCCACCACACCTGGCTGATATATATATATACACACACACACACACACATATACATACACACACATATATACACATACACACATATACATATATACACACACACATATATATACACACACATATATACACACACACACACACACCGTACACACATATCTGTATATATATTTAACTGCAAAGAAGGCCAGGCACGGTGCCTCATGCCTGTAATCCCAGTACTCTGGGAGGGTGAGGCAGGAGGATCACTGAGGCCAGGAGTTTGAAACCAGCCTGGGCAACATAGTGAGACCTCGTTTCTCCAAAAAATAAATATACAATTCCAAAAAAAAAAAAAACATACCTCACACCATATATTCAAATTAACTAAAAACGGATCATAGACGTAAATTACAGTATTTCTGGGAGAAGACATAGGAGTAAATCTTTTCCACTTTGGATTAGACAACAGGTTCTTAAAGATTTCTTAGGTAAAAAACAAAAAAGCACAAACCATATAAGAAAAAATTGCTAACTTAAAGCTGATCAAAATTAAAAACTTCTGCTTTTCAGAAAACACTTTTAGTTTAATTATTATTATTAATTTTTTTTTTTTTTTTGAGACAGAGTCTCACTCTGTGGCTCAGGCTGGAGTACAGTGGTGCAATCTTGGCTCATTGCAACCTCCACCTCCCAGGTTCAAGCACTTCTTGTGCCTCAGCCTCCTGAGTAGCTGGGATTACAGGCGTGTGCCACCACACCTGGCTGTAGAGATGGGGGTAGAGATGGGGGTTTTGCCATGTTGGCCAGGATGGTCTCGAACTCCTGACCTCAAGTGATCCACCTGTCTTGTCCTCCCAAAGTGCTGGGATTACAGGTGTGAGTCACTGTGCCCAGCTAGAAAATATTTAGAATGAAAAGACAAACCACAACCTGAGAGAAGATATTTACCAAACACATATCTAAAAGGCCTTGTTTTTTGTTTTATTTACTTGTTTAATTTTTGAGATAGTATCTCATTCTGTGACCCAGGCTGGAGTGCAGTGGTGATCACAGCTCACTGCAGCCTCGACCTCCTGGCTCAAGCAATCCTCCCACCTCAGCTTCCCGAGTAGCTGGGACCACAGGTGAGCACCACCACACCTGACTGATTTTTATATTTTTGGTAGAGATGAGGTTTCACCATATTGCCCAGGTGGTCTCAAACTCCTGACCTCAAGCAGTCCTCCTGCCTCAGCCTCCCAATGTGCAGGGACCACTGTACCTGGTCCCTGAAAGGACTTGTATCTAGACTCTATAAAGCACTCTTAAAATTCAATAATAATGAATCTCTCATGGGGTTACAGGAAAAAAAACCTCAATAAAAAGACTAATATCCAATTAAAATATGGGAACAGATTTGAAAAATTTAGTAAAGAAGATATTTGCACATGACTATTCAACATCACTAGCTATTAAAGAAGTGCAAATTAAAACCACAATGAGATTCCACTACACATCAAGCAGTAGAAAGGCAAACATTTCTTTAAAAACTGAAATATAAGAATCTGCTGGACCGGGCCAGGCATGGTGGCTTACGCCTGTAATCCCAGCTCTTTGGGAGACCAAGGTGGGTGGATCAAGTGAGGCCAGGAGTTTGAGACCAGCCTGGCCAACAAGAAGAAACCCCATCTCTACTAAAAATACAAAAATTAGCTGGGTGTGGTGGTGCGAGGCTATAATGCCAGTTACTCAGGAGGCTGAGGGAGGAGAATCGTTTGAACCTGGGAGGCAGAGGTTGCGGTGAGCTGAGATCTTGCTGCTGCACTCCAGCAACGAGGCTCTGTCTCAAAAAAA